GAATGTGCACTCAGTTGATGGAGTATGACACTAGTAGAGAATGTGCACTCAGTTGATGGAGTATGACACTAGTAGAGAATGTGCACTCAGTTGATAGAGTATGACACAAGTAGAGAATGTGCACTTAGTTGATGGAGTATGATACTAGTAGAGAATGTGCACTCAGTTGATAGAGTATGACACTAGTAGAGAATGTGCACTCAGTTGATGGAGTATGACACTACTAGAGAATGTGCACTCAGTTGATAGAGTATGACACTAGTAGAGAATGTCTGGGAGTTTTGTGCAACCTTGTTAGCCCTATATTCAAAAGCGAGCAGTTGCAGGCTTAACTTGAAACAATAGTAGACGCTATTTGTGTAGGTTAGATGCCAAGAGTTATCATTTGCTTCCATACAGCTGTCAAGTGTAATCCTGACCCCGTTTTGGTACGTCTCTTATCCAAGCTGGGAATTGGCTTTGACTGTGCTAGTAAGGTTGGTATTTCAAAAATRGAATAACCATCGCTTAATAGAACTCATTTTAATGCATGAAATAAATCTTTTAAACTAAATTAGAATACAGCTTTTCTAGTGATGTTTTTTTGTGTAACTTTTTGATAGGGAGAGATTAGATTAGCCATCGAGATGGGAGTCAGTCCACAAGATATAATCTACGCTCATCYCTGCAAGAAGCTATCTCACATCAGGTAGAACCTTTGAATTCATGCATAGGTTTAATCAATGGACACGCGTTCTCCTGTGTTCCTATAAAGTGTGATACAAGACAGGGCAGAAAAACGGTTTTTGGCCTTTCGCCATAAGGACGGCTTTACGTATTTAAGATCAATATTTTGTAAACACGTTCTTTTGGAGCCAAATAGCAAAATATCAAATGCGACCAAAATGTATCGAATGCGTGTTTGAGATATAAAGTCGTGTACTTTTGGAGAGGTGATACTTTGATCAGCAGAAAAGCTGACATTTTCGTGAATACTAATAAGTAGCCTTTACTCTAATTCGACAAAATTTCGTCACAAGTTTCGAGCAGTTTGTCACAAAATAAAACCCTTAATATATTCTAGTATTAAACTCAGTTAAATAAAAAAATTGTGAAAGTAGCGGGYTKGTCGTTTATCTGCCCTGTCATRATGCAATATTTTGATTCCTTGACAACTCCCCTGACTAAAAGGGAATGCAGGCCAGTCTCCCTATAAAAGATAGGACTTCGTARGTAACACAGACCGATGTAGGGCGAGGAATTGTTAAGAACCAGGACCTTTTTAACTCGAGGATACGCGAAGCGTAGAAACGAGCTATTGTGAGGGGTCTGAATATGCAAATGTGTCACTTACTCACTATGGCGTTAGCAAATCGATATTTAAACGTAAATCTATCGTCTGACGTCGTCTGCCCACGAAAAGGTACTCGTTGTTTTCTATCGGATTTTGTACAAATACGAAAGCTTTATTAGTCTTGTCAGTGTTTTATCTTGGTCTATACTAAATTCCATAATTCGGTAAWTCTGTACTAAATATATAACGTATAAACTTCTGACTTGGTAACAAAGCTTTAGTCAAATGATAATTCATGTGTGTTCTAGAGATAAGATTCCTACATATGTGAACTACTGATGTGTAGTGTACGTGTTGACTAGGTTTGCAGAACAATGTGGAGTGTCGATGATGACCTTTGACTGCGAGTCAGAACTGCACAAGATGAAGGAAACA